TCAGTCTTGTAGTTTGACGTGGTGATTTTCAATTTTTGTTCCTTATATATCTTAATAAGAACTGACTTAGGAAGCGTTAGCCGCTATGCCGATTTTACTTGCATTACTACAGCTGTATGCAGTATCACTGGTGACAGCTGTACTTCTGTTGTTGTCTACGTTTTAGTCTCCTTTGTAAGCTGTCCGTTCTAATTCGAGATATAAGAACTAAAAGGTCTCTGGATCGATTCGCTATTTGTTGTTGATTTTTCTCTCAACACAACATTCCAGACAGGCAAGGAATGGGTGCATTATTTTGTTTCGTTTAAGGATTGATTCTTTCTCTGTAGATAGATATATATTTACGATCTTATCCGTTGCATTTTTGAAGGAGTTAATTTATTATGGCCGAAACGGATTTTTTGTTCCTGAACCGATATTTGCGGAGTATTTCAAAAGTATTTTAAGCGGACGGCTACTGTTAGGTTGCTATGCTAATAATGGGCCCGCCGTTGGTTGACGTTGCTGGTTGTATTGAAACCGTTCAGCTTTCTGTATTTTCAAAGGAATATTGTTAAAGGGGCAGTTTATTAATCACATGCTAGCATTGGCGGCCATTTACTCGCGGTACTGGGTTTTATATTCAAATAATTGTTAACGTTGCTTCATTCTCTTTCTTTAAAAACTACGCAAGGTAGTCAAAATTTAGCAAAAAAGCACAACTTTAAATTTAATGTTCTCAAATCTTTCGTAGGCAGGTACGTCCAACTTTTACAGAGTTCTGCAGTGTCTTGCACTGCAGAGTAACACGGCTGTTTTGATGAAAATTCATTGAATTATGGTTTTCGAAACAACACGTTTTTAGATGTAGTGCTGGAGTATTTTGTTCACCATTTTAGAATTTTCGAAGCAGATGAAGCACAGAAGGTAAATAGCGTGATAAAATGCTTTCATTGAGGGTTAATGCGAACAGTTACCGCCTCATCCTTCCGTTCGATTTTTAATCAGAGTATCCTTCTACTAAACAGATTTGTCTCAAAGTGTAAGGAATTCGTAAATTCTGATCGCCATTGTCTCATATCCGATTGTTTCGATGTACACGAGAGTCTTCGCGTAGTATGGAACCTCTCAGTTAAAACGCGTTTCTTCGGGTAATTCCATACCTTGCTTTAATCAGAGCAACCTCCTTGACTGAGACATCAGAGTTAGATTGTTCAGAGCTGATAGAGTACGAAGTTACACAAGACTTTGCAGAGTATTATATGTTCCTTAGAAAAGTACACGCAGCCTTGAATTATGAGACAAGATACTCCTGTTCTATCAGATTTCATAGTTAAAATTTTGAAATTGCATGATCAACACTACGGAAGGTATGCTTTGCTTAGAGTCGCAAATTGTGTGGGCTGCTTAAATGTTGTCCTATCCTGAAGAAATACGGATTCTATCATTCACTGTTTCTTATCATTCACTGATTCTATCATTCTGACGACTGGCAGCTGTGCTTCACAAATGGAATTTGAGTAGTTGATCCATAATTTACACTGCAAGTCCTGAACACCATTGCAAACATGTTTTTTAGTCATTAGACGTGTAGTGGACCATGAAGGAAAAGATTTGTGGCTATAATAAATTGCTGCAGGTGACCTCCCTTACAGTTACCAAAGTTTCGCTAGCTTTCAAATTCCAGTGCGTACGCGCAATATCAAACTCTGCTGCTATGCAGAAAGGGCAAAGATAAAATATAAACAAGTAAACTGAACGAAACACGAATTTTTGTGACATTCAGATAATGCTTTGGTAGGGAAAGCCGATTAGCCGCATTTCGGAAATCTTGGCATATTTTTCAAACGACATATCGTTGCAGCTAAATTGAAGTTGCGAATTATTTTGGATTTCGATAATTATGGAGTCAGTTTTTCATTGTTGAGTGTTGTTAATGCTATTGCTTATGCGCTATTTTCTCATGAGTGTATGTTAAATTACTTTTCAGCTTTCGACAGGCACATGAACATTATACTTGCCGATTGCGAAGAATTCCGAAAAGTCAAAGCGAAGCCCGGAAAACCATTAGATCGCGAGGAAAAGCGAACTTTGGGTTTTGTTTTATTGCGAGGCGAGCACATCGTGAGCATGACAGTTGAAGGCCCACCACCTAAGGACGTAAGTCATATTTCACTAACTTGTCGTTTGAAAGTTATTGTGTGATTACATGTAAAATCTTCAATAATGTCATGTTATCATGGGCCTAATCACGTTCCCTCCTTACCGTGAGTGCATGACTTACGTAAAAGATGGCTACTCACGGTCAGTCTAACCTCGGGTTAATCTTTAACAGCTTGTTGGTTGTGCAAAGCTGATGAGTTGTTCGTTTTTATAGTAGAATGAAAAACGCGAGTAATGGCGTTATGCAAAATATTGCTTTCAATTTCGCCCGCTTTTTTTATTATTGTTTGTCTCTCCTGCATCATGATATTAAGCAAACTGTTTAGGATGATTTGCCGAAGGTTAAAGCTAGCACAGGCATTGGACCTGGTGTAGCCAAAGCTGTTGGACGAGGCATGCCAGCGGTTCCTCCACCTGGACCGCAGCCAGGTATTTTAAGTTTCATTGATCTGTATGCCAGTCGTCTTTTAAGGATTACAAGGACCGGTGAGAGGAGTTGGTGGCCCAGCTCCGGGAATGATGCAACCGCAGTACGGTGCTCCTCCAGGCGTTATGCCAGGTATGCTACCAATGAGACACCCAATACCTGGACAACCACAAATGATGGGGCCTCCTGCAGGGATGATTCGTAAGAGCAGTTGTATTGATCAACACCGCTACATTTGTCAGTATTTAGGTCCACCAGCTACGCAAAGGCCGATTCCATGATCTGTGTAGTCTTTTGCAAGATTTCTAAATTGTTCATTGATCAGACAACTGTCCTTGTATTTATTAGTAAAACGAGTACATATTTATGCTTGTCTTACGATCGTTAAGTTTACAAGTGCCAGTGACGAAAGTCACCTGTCTCGTGGAAGATGCCAAGCATCTGTTGAAAGATGATTGCTTTTTAAGCGCATTTTTATGTACGAATCTGGAACAAGTAAGTGAACTAACCGCTTTGATAGTGCTAGGTACTCTGTTGCCTCACGGCAGTCAGGTGCGACATCAACTAAATACATTTTTTCTTCCAAATGCATGCATGCCCGCAACGTCGCACTCCACTGCGAACCTTTCCAGAGAGCCCTGTAGGTCAACTTTATAAGATGCTAACAAAGATCGCCTGCTAACAGTAACCCTCTCGTCTCGACATTTCCTATGCTGATAAACTCATCGTCCTGGCTATGTCTGACTCTTCTATCGATGTACAACACAACAGAAGAGGGACAGATCGCAGCCTTGGCGGAGTCCAGTGATAATGCTGGAAGATTTCGGCTAAACGCCATTTACTCTGACGCAGCACCT